GAACAACCTATCAAATATAATGTACACTTGAACAACCTATCAAAGATAATGTACACTTGAACAACCTATCAAAGATAATGCACACTTGAACAACCTATCAAAGATAATGTACACTTGAACAACCCATCAAAGATAATGTACAATTCTTTCTTTATATTTATATAGTTCCACTTGTTAAGCATTTACAGTTCAAGTACTGATTTAATCATACCAGTTACCCTAAAAATGGTGATTAAAACTGATAGTATTTAAAGCCTGTGACCGCCTCCAATATACAGATCGCTTGAGGTTGGTTTTATTGGATGGTAAGGTCATAAAACTCGCTATATATGTACACACACACTATAGATATAATTACCTCGTTGATCAACCACTAATTAGACCAAAAACTAACCATTAACATAAACATTAAGAGCAAGTTAAAAACCAACTTTACCAATGATTGATGGAGACAACATTTAGTAAAAAGGAAATTCTTTCAGATGGCATATCTGTAAGTAATTGTGTTTATAATGTTAAAAATTGAGTTTTGGTGCCTGTGGTAGGCAAAGCACAAGTAACCTATTGTATAGCCTTGTGATTAAAACAAACCATCAAGACTAGCTCCTCAGTGGTGAGCTTAAAGGCCTAATCAGATTTCATTAGTCGTGATGGGCATAGTAGAGATAGCCCATTTTGTAACTTTATGATTAAAACAAACCATGGAGGCTAAGTCATTCAGTGAAGTCTCACTTTCAAAAAATTCCTCCACATGCAAGATTTTCAATGAATAGGATGATATTCATATTTTTTAACAATTTTAATTTTCTTATAGTTCCAATATAAGGTTGAGGACAGGGCTGACTTAAGAAACTCTTGAGTTTTTTCCACCTTCAGCCAACTTTGCTTAAGTTTTCATTGTTGTTCAGTTCAACCCCACTCGTATTTTATTCTGTTATGCTAATTTCAGTTTAAACTTAAATATTCTAAGCTCAGTTATTCAACTTATTATATACAGTTACTTCAGTTTCCTCTTTGATTATTGTACTGTTAAAATGTTTTTACTTCTGTAAATATTTTATTGTCTCTGTTTCCTTTCGAAACTTCAGGCTTTTCATCTACGCTTCTGTAAATCAAATTCGTAACTCTTTGTTATTAGTTTGTGATATTTATTCAGTAGCTGGAATACCCCAGTGCTAGTTATATACTTTTCTAGTGCCATTACTAAGGAGGGCTTAGTTCAGAAAGGTGAGAAGGACTTTCCCCCTCTGTTTTCTTTGAGATATGTAGTTTCCATGGAGATGAACTTTGATCTGAATGAAGGAAACTAAGACTGGTTCAGGACATGGCAGAGTACCCTAGATGGGCCCAAAGAAGCCTACTGCTGGATGTAGAGTACTCTTTAGCACTCAAGCAGGTGCTTTAATGGATTATGATACGACCTCCAATGGAAAGAACTGATTCATATTCCAGTTTCTATGTAGTCACTTGGAATATCAAGTTGTCTGATACCTTTGAGTAGAGAAGTATAATAGTGAACTGTTACCCTTAAGCAATTGAGATATGGTGCACTTAGAGAACTGACCATATCCCCATGATTATCAGGATAGAAATTGATAAAGTTTCTATCTGTTGGACATACAAGACTGTTTAATGTAAGCGTTATTATTTAATTTATCTTGTGACTTAATATTTAATGATTATTTACTTTTCATAACAAGAGAGTTAAAAGTAATTATTTTAAAGGCGATAGTTATGACAAATTTGGTTGCTAACTGAGTAAGAGTGTACGTTGTGTGTGTGGTTTATTTATTATAGTATTGTTGATGCCATGTTACTCGAATCTTCGGTATTTTTCTCGTTACCTTAAGTGAGTATGGTTACATTATAGCGCTGCTCGCGTAGTTCATAGAAAGTTCGAGGCCTCAGTGAAGAACGTATGAATATAGACAACCAAGCGAGTGCAAGTAAAGTTCAGTCAGAAAAAAAGTTAGAAAACGTGAAGTAGCGAATGAATGATTAGCCACAACGGGTGATATTTTAAAGTGCGAGTCACAGTTAATAAAGATAAGGAAAATAATTTGTCTTGTCAAAGGGTATTCTAAAGTAATTGAACCAGTTTGTGTGGACTTTCACGAAATAGAGACAATTATTTAAAGTTCGAGATACAACTGTGGTAACCCACGGAGTAGCGTAAATGAATTTGTCACAGATTGTACAGTAAGAAACAAAGTAGAGAAAAATAGTTTGTTTTGTCAATTGTATTCTAAAGTCATTGAATCAGTGTGAGTGGACTTTTGACAAGAAAAGAGAATTATTTAGAATTTTAGATAAAACTGCAATTTCCTATAGTGTAAAGACATTTTGTACATATGTTTGACTTGTTTTGAATATATATTATTTTAAAACAAGTGAATTGTATGTTGTCCGTTTATTGCCCAAATTTATCTCCAACAAGTCACAGACACCTACTGTAGAAGAATCCCAGCCCACTCATATTTAAAACCCTGACACTATCATATACTTGTTACTCAGTGACAGAAAGACAGACTGTGGCAGTTGCAGATCCATCTATGTTTACTAGAGAGAGTTGAGGCACTTGTTTTTGCTATTGAAAATTAAGACATTTAAAGAGGAACTTCCTTTGTGAACTTTCTTTCACACACCCATTTCTCAGCAACAGAAAGACAGACTTTTGAAGCTGCAACTCAACAAGGTTAAACTAGTGGACTTCAGTTAGGTATGGCAATTGACCTGATGAGTAAAGATGTCATTTGGTATCCAGAAGCATGATGTCCAATTTGGCACATGCAGGGCTAAGTGTTACATAGTATGTGCCTTGTAGATACATGGAACTTTATTCAATCTTGCAGCCAATGCATTGACAACAAGCCATCACTCAAGCAAATAAATACAATATTTTGTCCTGCAAAATGAAGAATGGTAGGAAATAAGATGAAAAGTGTGGTTAAGTCTTACTTTTGGTGCTGATTCATGAAAAGAGAAGGTAGTTGATTTAGATCTTGTTTCAACTATTGTTATGTTAGGCATGGAAGTGTTACATGGGCTATTTGCTAGCCTAGGTTGGGGAACTGGTGAGCTGCAGCTCAGTGGGAAAGTCAGAAAATACCAACCAAGTAAAACCAAAAATAGGCTTAATTGATATAAATCAGATGGTTAAATATAGAATTACACTGCTGT